ACAACAACTGGAGAGGACTGGGTATGGCCACCTCTTATCTGTGCCACGTTAACATCCAGCACGAAGGGCTGCAGGGGGAGGACGGGCTGCCTCAAGGATGAAAACAAAAGCATAATAACTTTCACTGGAAATGAAAAACAAAGGAGCGTTCTCGCCGGTGGCCCAAGAACAGCAGCTCTTCCTTGATCCCTGAGCAGCCTGACTGCAAGGGGCCTGGATAACTCCCTCCTGCTCCCAGGAAAACACAACCATTGTGTTGAACAGTGTGTAAAACACAACCAGTGTTTTACACATGAGGCAGGACAGTTGGATTTGATAGTCTTAGAGGTATTTTCCAACCTTAATGATTTTGTGATTGTGTGAAAATTACCACTCTCAAGAATTTGGTGACCCTCCAAATGACCCCCAAGACCTGTTCCAAGTGATGCCCAACACAGAAGCTTTGTGGGCTTCCCACCAGGGTGGTAGGAGGAAACAATTTTTAATTGTTTCATAGTGCCGGTACCACTTTTTTCCTTGTCTGCTTCTCCTGCTGAGGGCTGAGTGAACATTCAGCAAAACACTTCTTTTTACTGCACAAATGTGTCAACTCCAACTGTTTAAGCCTCTCACTCAGGATTGAAGCACCACAGGGAGGCCTAGGGAAAGCAGTGCCCAAGTTTAAAGGTATACTTAAAATTTTGTCTCTAACCCCCACCTTCTCCTTTGCTCTATTTCAGTACTGTGAGAAGGAAAGCCTCTTTTTTACCCCCTCTAAGCTTTCCCTACATCCCTCTCAGTCAGAATTACTGGGTATTTGCCACACTAGAGGTACAGGAATTCTTTTCACAATCCCCTTTCACACGAGATTAGCCACAAGAATGCACAGTGCATGTTACCTTGAGATAGTGCTTGGAGATGAGACTGAAGTTTGTGTCACATTTTGCTGTTGGCGCCAAGACCGAAAGCAGGTTCCCAGGAGTCCCAAACTTCAAAACCCTGCACCCAGCGCTAAAGTCTCAGTTTAAAACCGAGCTTCTGGCTCCACCTGCTGCCGGAAGGATGGAAGAGATTAAAGAGCAGCTACAGCCAAAAAAAAAAAGAAAAAAAAATCAAAAAAAAAAAATAACAAAGAAACAACTAAGGCCTGCTTTTCTACTTAACTTGTCCAGCAAGGTTGTTGTTAAAAGACAAACAAAAGAGATTGCTTCATCATGGAAAATTCTACCGGGTTCAAGAGGTGCAGCTCTTGACCCCGTCATGACCGCCAGGCACTTGGATCCTATTAAGTTACCTATTTTGGTAATTTTTTAACTTTAGAAAAAGCTGTTTGATGACACAAATTCATGGCTGAAAAGAAGCCCAGGTAAAGGACAATGTCATAAGCATGGTTCCCAAGATTGCCAGCAGGAAGGGGAAAAAAAAAAGGAAACCCTGCATTGTACATTTTCCCATCTTCCCCTGTTCACTGTGCGGCTCTTGCCTCTCAGCGTTCCACTGGGCGCCTTTAAATCTCGGGTTTACATTTGCCCACAAAGAGTCTAACTTTTTTTTCTTTTTATGCCAGGATATATATTTTGTGATTTCGTGCCGACGCCCGCGCGCGTTTCCCGTGCCAAAGCGCGCCAGGTGCCAGCACAATCGGGCGTTATTCCCGCTCACAACGCTGCCAGTGAAGCCAAGGGCTGCCCCCGGGTGCCCCAGGAATGCTGGTTTGGCTCTGGGGTGCTTGGATTGCCTCCGTGTGTTTGCACAGCACTGAAGGCAGAGCCGCTGCTCGTTTAGAAAAGCATTTCGTGCACCTGATGGAAAGAAACGTTAGAAGCTACTTCACAAAAAATATGTGCAGGCCATCTGAGGGAGGCAGATTAAGCCTTTACTGCTTAAAGGAACATTTTGGAGATACATGTTCCCACCTTTAGAAAGTTACATTGCTACATAGCTCCTGCTAAGGAAACCTAAACCCTCTGGATAAGCAATGCAGAGCTCTTTCAAATGCCATTTTAAAAAGAGGTTTCAGTTACAGCAGCAAAAAAGCATCATCAAGGCAATGCCATTTCCGCACTCTCATCTCTAGCTAATACAAACTTTACAAAAATACATTAGGAAGGTACAGAAAGGGTACTCTCTGAGCTTGCATTTATCACTTCTTCACCTCTTATAAAGATGTCATGCAGACACAAAGCTCATAATATTTTATGAAATATGTGTTTTCTTTGTACACTCTTGTGTGTATACTACACTAATTTGTAAATTATATTCAGTTTGGCCTCCTTCAAGTTAAACTTTGCTCAGCAGCAGCCTTTGGCTGAGCTACCTGCACTTGAGCAATCAGCGGAACAAGCACAAACCCCAAAGCACTGGGTTTCTGGCACTCAGCAGGTGGGGGCACCTTAGTTATCTACATTTTTTTTTTAGTAACAAAAGCCCTGAAGAAAATGTCTGAGGCTAATTAAGATCCCAGACAATAAAAGCACAGACGGATTTACAAGCACATTAGTTATACAAGCAGCTGTGCTTGAGTTTGAGAGGTTGGAGCAGTGTCACTGACAACGGGCCAAATTCCACTTTAGGATTGCCAAAAAACACTTTCCATGATAAAGCAAATCCTTCTTTGCCCCCTCCCTACCTTTCTCAAAACAGACACAACATTCCAAAGGCAGATGATCTTTCTGACTGCCTGTCACTTTGTCACTCTGCACAGGAGAAGAGGAGGATCTCTGACATTCCCTTTGGCCATCCCAGCTCTTCCTGTTATCTCACAGACAACTGCCAACTTGGTTTTTATTGTTGTTAAGCAGAGGTTAACTGGTGACAGGCTCAGTGTCTGGAAAGAGAAATCCTGGGTACCCGTCTTCACTCCTGAAATTATACATATAATTCTGTACTTGTTGTGGCATTGAACTGTAATTAAACCAAACAATCAAACCCCTCTGTCTGCTCCAGCTTGGGCTGCAGTCACACACCTTGGTCCCTGCTTAGTTGAGAGGGTCAGAGAACCTTCAGGTTAAAAGAGAAAACTCAAATTACCCCATCATTAAATAAGGGCAATTTAGGATGACAGTTTCTGAGTTGTCTTCAGAAAGTCTATACTCACTCTGATTTTCATAAGCTTGTAAAAAAACTGGACTCATGAAGCAACTATAAGATGAATACAAAAAAGCCCAGAGATCCAGCAATGGTCTGCTGGAGAAAAATTTCTCAGGTTCTCAAAAATCTTGGCCTAATAAATCTGCAACCAGAAAATAGGTTGGACAAGATTAGAGCTCAAATTGATCGCCAGCAGCCAGAGAAATGCTCTCAGAGGATGCAAGTCAGTAGAGCAAGTTACAGAATTTTACATGCACATAATTCTTGCCTATTACACAAATAAAAAAATGGGGGGAAACAGCTTTAAAGCTGTTCTTCAAAGGAGTTTGCACAAAAAAAAAAATAAACCCTACAATACTGGGGCATAAACTACAGTACTCCATCCAAGCCATGTGAACTAGTTTGGCTCTTCCCAGCATTTTTCAGGGCACAGCAGAGCAGGGAATTGCAGGAGTAGCACAGCAAGGGCTCTAGAAAACATTGTCTCTCAGGAAATACTCCGAATCTTAACCAGAGAAGGAGCAAGGACTGAAACAAGGACAATAACAAACTTTAGGTATGTAAGAGGCTGCCACATGGAAGGAAAATAACCTGTTCTCTGTGGCCTTAGGGACACTGTAATGGGCAGCAAGAGAGACAGATGTGGTAGGAGACTTGCTGCCAGTAAGGGCAGGGAAGCACTAAAACACACTGAAGTCTTCTGCCCTCCAGCCCTTTCAGAAAATTAGGCAAACACTGACAGCTGTAACTGCGGCAGGGGAACAGACCTGATCATCTCCTTCATCCTTGCCAGCCCTATTACTCTAAAAAAAAAAAAAAAAAAAGTAAACTTTTGGGCTGCCAAGGATTTTGGGGGTTTACCTTTTGCTAGAGTCCTTTCAGAGACCAAGTGCTGTTTACACTGTGGTTTCCTTCAGTTATTTCCCTCCTTCCCACTCAGGTTACATAAGCACAGCTCTCAGAAAAGTCAAACTTCCTCAGCAACACCCTGCTGCATTTCTTTCTTATTCCTAAGAATAACAGTCCCAGTGACACATTACCCCTTGCAACAGTGAGGCTTTTCCAAATGGAAATCAGTCTTCCCTCACCCGCAGATGACTAATCATTCTGTCTCACCTACACCAAAGGAGGGTAAATGGTTCTGAGAGCCAACCAGCAGATTGGTTCACTCCCAGTTGCCTTTAAAACATCAAGTGATTATTTACCACTTCCCACTATGAACATGTGACTGTGTTTAACCCCTCTGCTCAGACAAGGGAACATTTTGCACTAACAGTGATTAATCAGGGTTTAGTCTCAGCTAAAACCAGCTCAGTTAAGTATTAAAAACTAAGTTTCTATGAGCTTTGCTCTTTTTGCATAGACTGAGTACCTTAGTTGCACGTTACCGTTTTTTTTTTTAATGCAAAGCATTTTTTAATACAAACATCCCAATTATAGAAAGTTTTGTAACAGTAAAAGCAGACATATATGGTCAGATTTATTTTACAAGACTGCAAAGCCAAACACTGAGGCCAGGCTTGAAAACAGCATCTCTTGTCATACAATCAAAATATTGTACACACAGAACACAGCACGATGCTTCTCAAGTTCACCAGCATAACACCCAGTTTGTCAAACCTTCAGCATTAGAATTCTTTTTCAAGCTACAAATGAGAAACACAAATTTCATCCATAATGACAAGTGCTTCCTTCCTACAGACACCTCGCTGAGGGGCAAAAACGCCAAATGTTTTGGAGAGCGATATGAGAGTGCAAGACAACCCTTGGTAAAATATAGATATAAATCACAATTTGAACTGTGGCCAGGACTTTCAGCAATTAAGCAGATTTCTACTTATATATCTCCTCTCAAACATTCTGACTCGACTGTTCAGTACTAGATGAACAGCACCTCACTACTTTATTTCCAAGTATTCCAAGACTGGAAACTCTTTAAATCACTCTGTATTTTCTTTATCAAGCCACTATAATTTAAAGACACAGCTACAAGTCCTCTTTAGATAAAAGGAATGAGAGATGATTGCTTCAAGAGCAGGCCTTCATCGCAACACGTTTCAACACACCACCTCGGAGCAGTCAGCAGGCAGACTGTAAAAGCCACGTTGTTTTTTTTTTTCAGAAAGACAGGATGGTCTTGTGAATTATTTCGATGCACTCTCTGATTTCATCCTCCTTAATCACCAGTGGTGGTGCCAGACGGATGATGTCCCCGTGCGTGGGCTTGGCCAGCAGTCCGTTATCGCGGAGCCGCAGACACACCTTCCAGGCATCGTAGTCTGCAACGACAGGAGAGGGAACAGGACACTGAGAGGACATTTTACACCACAGCAGAAGAAATGTCACAGCTGCAGCATGTGGCGCGTGGGGAGCCAGACTTTGTGTTTGCCACCCGGCAGTGACATGGAGGGTGTTCACAAACGGAGTCACTCTGGAACCTGCGCTGAGCGGAACTGCCACAAAGCTGGGATTCGTCTCACGGGTTGGCCCCCAACACACAGAGTCCTGGCCCCTTCACAGCTCAGTGCTTGTCCAGATGGAGCAATACATTTAAAAAGGGGAGGTAAAGGAATGCCTGGACAGGACTTTAGACAACGTTACACTTGTGCAACCTGGATTTCGGTGCATCATGTGCGTGTCTCAGAAAATTGCACCACCTCCCTACAGCACTTTATCCCTTGACAAGGAGCCTTGATATCCAGTTTTCTGGTATAACTCGAGGTGTTAACCCCTAGAAACACACTCTCAGTCATTAACTTTTTTCTTCCTTGTACCCTCCTGTATTCATTGTACTCTTCTAACTGTTCTGGAAACAACCAATCTGGGCCAACCCTTCCATTAGTGTTCCAGATGCACTCAGTTTTCTTCCAGTGAGAGACAAAAGGGTATTTGTTGAGAGGTAGATTCACCATCAGGTTTTGAACATTACCATAAAGGAATTTAAATAACTTAAAAAATTGTTCAGCCTTAATTAAGACCACTTATTTTTAACAGCACACACTTGAATAAATTTTCGGTAGGTACTACAGTACTACAGCCAAGATCTGAAGACAAACATGATGCCTATATAATACCATCTCCCACCCACAATTTAAGCTGAAAAGTATTTTTTCACGCTGTGATGGTGCAGTTGACTGCATTTCCTCACCTTTGGTTTCCCGGATTACAATTGCATTTAACAGCCCCTTTCCCCTCACAGCGGTTACAATATTGGACGGCGTCTTCATGAGCTCACTTCTTAGGAGGTTACCCATTATTTCTGCATTTTTTGCCAAGTTTTCATCTTCAATTACCTAAAGGGAAGTCAGATCTACAGTCAGCTGAAGGGCACCACATTTGTTTTACGGACCATGCTGGAAAAAGGTGATAAATGACATTACAGCTACTGAGACACAAAAGCTGTTGCAGCCAGAGTGTCACTGCAAAGGCTGCATAGCCCAGCAGATTGGCATCAAGCCTTTACTCATTCATTTTTACAAGACACAATAACATCCTTGAAATTTTGTTCAAAATTGCCATTTGGAGTTATTTACGAGTAAACAGTAAAGCTCTGAAGATTCTTAATCTGTCCAGATCTGCATACTGGGTAATGCTGAGGCTTTTCGAGTGACCTGCATCACATATAGTCAATTAGGCAGTCACAGAACAATTAAACCACACACTCTGGACAGGAAATTTTAGCTTCTGTTTAAGCTCCAGTAGAATATACATTTTATCAAGCTCACAGAGTAGCAGCCTCTGCTGGTATAGTAAAATAATCCAATGTCAAAATGTCTCCATGAAATTAGTGAAGCTATTTGACCAAATTTACATAAGTGCCTTGAAACTCCCTCTATATAAATTTTATTTTGACATTTAAGACATTAAGACCATAAGAACACAGGAATTAGGACATGTTTCCAATAAAAACTCTGGGATTTGTTTTGTGATCTATGCAGATAACCACTGCCAATTTTCCATTTGTACTTAAAGCTGGATTGCTACTCACGGCAGGAGAAATAATATCATTTATTTAAGCAACGTGACACACTTTTTTCTTTGGATTCCAAACCTCTATCACAACACACAAACCTCCAGTGCTGCCATTGCCACACGGCAGGCCAAGGGATTTCCTCCATACGTGGATCCATGTTCACCAGGCTTAATGGTCAGCATAATTTCATCATCACACAGTACAGCTGAGACCTGAAACGGGGAGGTCAGCAAATTCACTTACAGATATCTTTAAAACAGTAAACTTGAATATCTCTGAAGCAAACCTTTCCTCAGGGCTCAGGAAATTTTTAGCCTGTGGTGATAAATTACATTTGCATTCCCAGCTCTGTGTACAGGAGAGAGGATCTGGCAAACCCCTAATTAATCCCTTAAACACACTGAGATATAGTGGTAGCATGTAACTCCCCACTGCAGCTGAGAGGCATTTCTCCAAACTGGATATTATTTCAAGATTTTAAGCTTCAATACTTGGTTTAACAACTCAGAAATACCTTCAGTCAGCCAAAATAGTTCAAGGCACGTTGTAATTTCCAGCCTAATCAGCAGGAATTTAAGTCGCTCCGAGAGGATAAAAATCAGTCATGCAGACATGCCAAATACAGGAGATCATGCCAGTTGTTCCCAAACAGTTTCATAATGTGTGTTTTAACATATATTAGTATTTTTTTTATCCTCTACAGAATTCATCTAGAAATTAATCACAGCAAGGTTGTGACAAACCTACTCTCCAGAGAGAGTAAAAAAGACTAACCAGAAATTCCATAATGAAAAGATGACTACTGGACACTTCTTTTCCTGACAGGAAAACAGCCATTTCAGCTATAAAGGTAGTATTAGGTATTCCACTATTTTATTATCTCTCACAGGTTGGGCTGTCTGGTCATAAATCATAGCTAATCTTGTAAATTACAAATTCCAAGTACAGCAAATATCAGATTTATTGTTCTTTCAACCGGTAGATTTTCACTGTTAATGACTAAAAAAGAAGTCATTACTCAACAAATGTTTGAATAATTTGATATTATTTCAGATTACTGATATTTCTTTGTTACTCACAGGATATAAGCCACCAGAAAGGGCCTTTCCAAGAAGAATTATATCAGGTCTCACATTTTCATGATCAACAGCCAGCATTTTCCCTGTTCTGGCTAAACCAGTCTGTATTTCATCAGCAATAAACAGAACCTTCAGAGAGACAAAAAGAACAGAGAACACAGAATAAGTTTCATTCCCATTCCTAACTCAATTAAAAAAATACAGCTCTCTTTTTTTGAGGTATCACAACAGTAATAAAGACAACTTTATTAATAATATGTCAGTACCTTCCTCTGAAGATATAAAAGGAATTATGACTACCACTTGCAAATTAAGACTGAATTCTGCTGGAATAGAGACCACTGATTTTTAAATCAGAGACCACCGATAACCATTTTCTTCAGTGTTTCACTCTGTGACCCACTACTGTTACAAATTCTTGGCACTTATGCACTCCAGCAACAAGGGCCCTTAATAGCCATGGTAATTATTAATTACTGCAGTAATTGGCTTGGGTCTCAAGAAACTTAGAATGTGAGAAGGAAATTAAAAGCTGAATTAATTTAAAATAAATGTAGTTCAAGAACATTCATTAGTAACTTAAATCAGTGATAGAGGTAAAAAACAGTGACAAAAGTACATTGCTAAGAAGTACTTTCTGGTAAGGTATTAGCAGGAAATACAAGAAGTATCCCTGCCCTATTCCACTGAAATAAAAGGAAATTATTAAATCATATATGAAGTCCTACACCTAGTATATAAAGAATGACCTTACAAGGTACAGCAGCAAACACAGTAATGTTTAAACCACGTTCTTACAGTGAATTCCTTACATTGTGTTTTGTGCAGAGGTCCCTCACTCCTGTGAGATAACCCTTGTCAGGAACAACCACACCTGCTTCCCCTTGAATTGGTTCAACCATGAAAGCTGCCACGTTGGGATCCTGAAGGGCCCGCTGTAAAAATGGACATATGGGTGGGAAAGACAAAAAGAAAAAGCCTTTACTCGGGTCAAATTCAGAAAATGCAACGTAGCAGAACCTAATTCTAGCCCCAGTGTTTTTCCTTAAGGAATGATAATGGCATTCATGTCAGGCAGTTATCCCTGAGTGCCATTTCAGTTCCAACACCATGTCACTATTTGCCTTGTAAAATGAGCTGTTGTGCTTGCTTGGGAAGGTACAAACCTTAAAAACTGCAGACCCAGATAAGCAGATTATCAGATCAGTCCATAAATTACCTCAGAAATACCCTCAGTTTTACACGACCCCATACAAGACAAACAATTGCTCAACTCTCCCCTCAAACAAAAAAATAACAGAGACTCTCCAGAACGATTTTACCTCAGAGCAAAGTCCACAGGTACATTCTTGCACTATCAAGTTCAAAAAGGTTTAGAAGTCCACGAGACACAAGAAATGTGACGATTTCCCAGCATGAATTTACCACAGCTTTTCTCAGTATGGTCCCAAAACCAGAATGGATTCAGCTCTAATGAAGCCATTAAATACTCTCATTCCACCCCCTGCCCTGGGCAGGGACACCTTCCACTAGCCCAGGTTGCTCCAAGCCCCATCCAACCTGGCCTTGGACACTTCCAGGGATCCAGGGACAGCCACAGCTTCTCTGGGCAACCTGTGCCAGGGCCTCACCACCCTCAAGCCAAGAGTTCCTTCCCAATATCTAATCTAAATCTACTCTCCTTGAGTCATCTAATCATTGAAGAATGCACAGCTTTTCTGAGAAAAGCACCTAAAGGTATTAGTTTCAGAAACCAAATCCTGACTTTTAGAATGTAAGCTACTGATCTGAATTCCACTATGGTTTATCTCTTGTTCTTCATTTGTGCCTTGAACATCTTAGTGAGATGTGAGAGGAAACAGATCATGTGTTTTTTCTTTTACGTCCTGAAGCAAAACTGAAAATCAGAACCGAAGCAGAATTTACACCCACTTCCTATGCACAACAATAACATATGTATTTCTTAAGTAAATTTAGATACATGTCTCTTACTGTCAAAGCACGTGTCTCAAGGGATAAGCTTCTGATTTTCCTTGCTATTTACCAAAGAGACACTGCAAAACGATAAAATTTTCAAATACCTCGAGAGCTGGGAGGTCATTGTATGGGATTACTTCAAAACCTGGCATGAAGGGCCCAAATCCATCATAGCTGGATGGGTCAGTGGAACTGGAGACAGCAGACATTGTTCTGCCCCAGAAGTTGCCAGCTGAAAAAAAAAAAAGAGAGGGAGACTGTCACAAAACTGACCAAGAGCCAGAACAGTTTAAAGGACATCATACTTTCCACTTGTTACTGCATTTTAAGTTACCTAACATCAGCATATTAGCATCCTTCTTCTGATTGTTAGCACTTTGTATTGATGTCATGAATGTACTCCGTAGCTGTATCAAAAGCACACATCAAAAAAACAAAATGCAATTATACTCTTAAGACCTGCCAAGCATTCAAGATAATTTCCTTAAATTTTGTTAGTAGTCTGAAAAATTGAAAATAAGACAGAAAACATCTTTTTAAGGAAGATGCTCAGCTTTAATGTAAATACTACTTATTAAATACGGGGGGGGGAATAAAGACCATTACTAATTTAAGTCCTAAAAATAAAGCTGCCACTAAGCCTAAGCACCTACTAAAAGTAGACTGTCTGAAGAGCAAAATAAAATATATATTAGAAGGAAGGAGAAGTATATTTTTTCAAAGAATTCCCAGAAGAAATTTTAAAAAATCTCTATTCAATTCCAGAAAACGTAATGCAATATTCAACCACGAATTGTAATTTACAAATTCTTCCTAGTGACACTTACGGTTCAGCTACTATATGTACCAAAAGTTAAAACTAGTATTTGCAGCTGTAGCAATTTCAGGGGAAAAGGTCAATATTTAAGTAGTAAGCTTTATTCTGAAAGATTTAATAAAATGCGGAATCACTGAACAACATCAGCACTGACAAAAATACTTTATCTATAACCAAAGAACACTAAATATCAGATTTTTGTAATATACATGGGGTTTTTTTTCCGTTGTTTTATTTAGCTAAGCACAATAATAACAATAATAATAATAATAGGCAACTTCTCCCTACTATGCAGCCAAGCAGAGCAGGCAGGCAAAGGGAGGAACTATTTCAATAGAGAATCAGGGCCCAATATTTACTTTAGTAATACTGCTTTTACTGTCATTATATCATCAGGACTCCAATATGACTTTAGTGGGTTAATGTCAATCTCTGGAAGACCTCAAGGATGCAAAGAAAACCACTGGTAAGGTGAAGCCTAAGAGGGAAGCAGCTTTAACCCTATTGTGCAACCTGTGAGAGGCGTGGCAGCAATTTGAGGAGTGAATTCACAACAAAGTTATACAAAAAACAACCAGTTAGGAATAAAAAGATACTAAGCTTCAAGTGGTTAAAAGAGCAGGGAGGACTGTGTGTACTTTCATTGTGACTTCAGGCTGTTTCTCAGCAACCCAGTGTCCAGATTTCTCCTCAATGCCTCAGCTCATAACACAGAGTTCTAAGGAAGATGATCAGCTTTTAACACTTTACATACCTGCAAAAATAATTTTAGCTTTGTATTTTGGGACTCCTTTCACAGTATAGGCCCATTTGCGAGCCAGTTTACAGGCAGTTTCTCCAGCTTCCACTCCTGAAACATAAAGCAAGCACCGTGATCACTCCTGTACCTGAGAGAGGCCACCAATGCAGTGCCAAATGTTACACGACTGCTGAATCTCACAGACAAGAAACAGATTGGAAATAAAATCATTTCTTCACCTGTGTTCATCGGAAGAACTTTGTTGTAATTGAACATTTTGGTGACGAGCTCCTCGTATTCACCAAGTACATCGTTGTAGAACGCCCTGGATGTCAGGGTCAGTTTTTCAGACTGAGCTTTCAGAGCATCCACGATTTTTGGGTGGCAGTGACCTTGATTAACCGCACTGTAAGCACTCAGGAAGTCAAAATACTTTCTACCTTCGACATCCCACACGTAAACACCTGGGAAAACAAACATATGGTCAACACACAAAGTAAAAGATGACTTGAGATAATACTAAATGGTATAAACTAAGGGTTACAACACAACCTGGTCAAATTAAATGGTATTTTCTCTATCCCCGAGGGCATTCCTGAAAGGGCCTCAAGAAAAGAATCAGTTGACAAGGAGATCCTGAGCAACAAACGAGTACAGCATAAGCAAGGAAACAAGAAAAAACACATTTCCAATATAAAGCTGCCATTCCACGGAGTTAGTAATTTCAGACTATTATTTCCCCTCCAAGTCTCTGTTTTAGGCACTGTAAGGTAGGTAGAGAAGAAAACTTCTCTAAGAGAATTAACTGGAGGTCATAAAATAAAGAACAAAATCAACAGAACCCAAATAATCTCAAAACTCAAGAGGCCAAAGGCTCCGAGCTGTCAAAATGTGCCCTAAAAAAGAGAAACCGCTGGATCACTATGCTGATAGCATTTTAACACAAACTCACAGGACAGAAAAGCCCCTTAAACATTATTAAAGACCAGAGTAAATTTAAATTAAGTAATAATACAGGAATAGTACACAAGGATTTAAACAGGGTTCCAGTGCACCTTTTCATGTTCACATTAACATTAAACCTCCCCCAAACAAGGCAAAAGAAGAAAAAGTTGCTTGACAATTTTCTTGCTGAGTTATTCTGGAGATTATCACAACTTTGACCTTTATTTAGATAAAGAAAGATTTTATTTAGATAAAACACTTCAGAGGTATCACCATTTTATCAGGTGGCTTTATTCATAATGATCCAGCTCTCTAACCAACAATTAGCTGTCTTTAGTTCACCAATTATCTCGATCCCACCCTAAAAAAAAAAATACCCAACGAAGGTTCAGAAACTGATCCCATCCCACCTGAACAGTCACATCTCCTCTACCACACGCAGGGAAACCCAGATAAAATACCTTTCCCTCTTTCCAGAGCAACAGGTAGCGGGTGATAGTTGTGGGCACCATATTTAGCCTCCCGTTCGTAGATGAGCTCGGAGGAGACGGGCCTTTGAGCAGTTTTTTGGGGAGCAACTGAGGCAGCAGAACTCAGCGATGCGTGGAGACCCCGAGAGAGAACAGCAAGGCTCTGGGGGCGGCTCAGCTTGGAAAACATGATGGGCTTCAGGTATTCTGATAGAGATCTGAGGAGGAGAAATAAAGACAGTTAATAATCAGCACTAAGAACACTTTGGATGAAACGCGTAATGTGACTGAAGGGGTTTCACTGCCAGGATCACAGGTGTCTCAGCTCTGCTGCAACTCAAGCAGGAAAGCTTATGTGAAGTAGAAATTAATGTGGGATTAAGTTCAAACTAGTATTTTCTATCCATTTTAACGTACACTCACAGAAACAGAAAGAAAACCAAGCTGTGTGACTCACCAAGTCTATGAACTGGTTACATCACCTTTCCTGTAAGAGTTCCTTTTTCACTGTGCCTTAAATTCTGGTTTACTAATAAAAACTACAGCAAGAAAGTTAAGTTCATCAAACTTCTTTTTCTACTGACATGCCCTTTTTCTGCCAAAGACTACTGTAAGACCAACCTCATCACAAAATCAGAAAGTAAATATTATGATACTGGGAAGAAGCACTGGACACAAATTAGCTGATAGTATTAACTGCTGATAGTATTAACAAATTTGATAAAGGATTGATTAGTTTTAATTGTGATCATCTTTAAGAAGCAAAATTTGTAACTTTTTACATAAATTGCATTCTGGATTTTAAGATGCTGCCAACTATATAAAGCACTCACTGTTAATACTATTTTATGACTATCATTCTGTTCAGCCTGGAGAAGAGAAGGCTTTGGGGAGATCTTAGAGCTCTTTCCAGTGCCTACAGGGGCTCCAAGAGAGCTGGAAAAGGACTTTGGACAAAGGCCTGGAGTGACAGGACAAGGGGGATGGATTTAAGCTGAAGGAGGGTCAGTTTAGATTAGATATTGGGAAGAAATTCTTTAATTATGATGGTGGGGAGGCCCTGGCACAGGTTGCCCAGAGAAGCTGTGCCTGCCCCTGGATCCCTGGTTGTGTCCAAGGCCAGGCTGGATGGGGCTTGGAACAACCTGGGATAGTGGAAGGAACCCCCCATGGCAGGGGGGTTGGAACAAGATGAGCTTTGAGGTCCCTTCCAACCCAAACCATTCTGGGATTCTGTGATTAAAAACCAGATGGAAAGTAATCATATGCCAGGTATTAATGATTATTAGAGCACCCTCTATTTTCTTAGTAACCTCAGCAATTTCCCCTGAATACATAACCTTGTACTGTTACCATCTATGATAATCTGAGGGTTTCATGAGACAAATGCACTGGGATTTCTTCTCTGTGCCTCAGACAGCACAAAGATACGTCCCAGAGAAGGGGAAGTGAGTTGGCACTTTTATAGCTGTCCAAGCAGGCTCTCCTCACAGCAGGGAACAGCAGAGAGCCACCAAGGGCTCCCAAAGCTCAAGTTTCTAGTCTTGCAGAACATCCCACTTACAAGCTGCCAAAAGGTTTAAGCCCCAAAGGGGGATCACAGATTACAACAAGCACCCTGAGTATGAAATGCAGCCTCCTCTGCAACACACTCCACAGCAAACTGAAGAGCTGAGCAGCCCTGACACTGCTGTAGCACCCAACCAAAGCATACCTAAAACCTAACCAAAATATAGGTGTTAAACACCAACAAGAGAATGCAAGGATGGTTTACACAAAGGGTGCTGTTATTTCAGGCTCCTTGCAGAGGCAGAAGTGTTAAGTCATGGATTTATGCCTAATTTGTTTTGGAAAAGATCAGCACCGTGGATGTGTCCCCCTTGAACAAAGAGGTGTTTCTCTCAGCAAACTCCTCAGGTATTACTTCGCTGCTCCTCACTTCTAACCAAAGCCAAAAGACTATTTCCTCCACCTACTAAAATCAGCTACCAAAATCCAAGAGTTTAGGAAGAGCCAATAGTCTCCAGTCCAGCAGGAGATGAACAGCAGCTGCCCGGCTCTGGGCACGTTTCCAGCTGTTAAATATTAGACATTTGTGTTAATACTTTTCAAGATGGTTATTCAAAGATTTTGCAAACGAAAAAGACACAAAACTGCAGCCTGCTTAACTGCTAAAATGCAATTGGTCTGTGACAAGCCTGGCCCCTGGCACACCTCCATGGCAGAGCAGCTAATTCTATCACAAGCTTCCGTATTTCTGGAGATTTCCCAGACATTCCTGAAATAATGGGTGTAAAGAAATTAAACTCTCATGTGCCCTGTATCAGAGAGGTACCTTTCTGCATGAAGAATTACAGATCCCTCAGTTTGAGGTTCTTGTTTTTCTTCTTTCAAAGAGGCTGGAAAATATCAATCAGAATTTTTTGAAAGGGTTTTCCCCTCCATGAAGAGAAATTCCCTGCAAACTGTTCTAGTGAGGCCACACCATTTTATCCAAGGTTTAGGAAACTACATGGAATAGGGCTGAATGAAGCTGGGAATTACAGATGAATCTGAAGTTAAAAGCTGGAGAAAAATCTGGGTTTGATGATCTGCAAGAGAAGATGAACAGAAATTTCAGGAGAGAGGAGGGGCACAATAAGGAAAAAAAAATAAACAAACCAAATGAAGAAACCCAATCTTGTTACCAACCATGAGGAAGTAAGAAATATGATCGTGCCCTGCAGCAGGCAGTACAGGAATCAGAAGCCAGGGAATTACACCAAGTGGAAAAGGTCTTGCATCAGAAAAGAAAAACCACCCAAAGCACAGCTGTGAAACACTTGAACAACTTTGCTCAGCTGTTGAGCAAGAATATCCAGACAGGGGCCAGTGGCTGGGATATCACAGGTAAACTGAGTGGTTGTACAGACTCAACCCTGACAGACACTGAAGCACACCCCAAGGCAAACGGCAGATACTGTCAAATGCATAAAAACAGTCAGAGTCATGTTAATACAGCAGAGAGCAGTCAGTGCCACACTGCTGCCTTTACCAGCTGAATGAAAGGGGGTGAATGTTCCAGGGGACAAGCAGGAGGGACAGCAGCGTGGGCGTGCCAAGCTACCTTCGCAGACATCAGGAACAGCTCAGGAGCTAAACTGGCAGAGAAGAATTCCCAAATCACAGAATCAGTTGGGTTGGAAATGACCTCCAAGATCATCAAGTCCAACCTGCGACCCAACACCACCTTGCCAACCAGACCAAGAGCGTTGATTGCCACGTCTCTCCTTAAACACCTCCAGGGATGCACCTCCCTGGGCAGCCCCTCCCAATGTCTAATTATCTTCTCTGTGAAGAAACTCCCCCTGATGTTCAATCTAAACCTCCCCCGGTGCAGCTTGGGGTCGTTTCCTCTCATCCTGTCCCCTGTTCCCCGGGAGCAGAGCCCGGCCACCCTCCTGTTAGGGTGTTAGAGAGAGCAAGAAGGTCCCACCCCGAGCCTCCTTTTCTCCAGCAAAAGAGGGGGGGAAAAAAAAAAAAAAAAAAAAAAGCAGCAATAAACCCAGGAGATCCCGCTCGCCATCAAAGCCGGCGTCAGAGGCAGGCACTGCAGAGGCAAAGCCGCGGCACCGCGGGCCCGGCACAGCGCGGCGGGGGGGACGGGGCTGTCACCGCCCCCGCTCCGACACGGGGACAGCGCGGCGGGGCCTTGGCGACCGGGGCCGGCTCACACAACCCGCCGGAGCGTCCTCCCGGAGAAGGAGGGAGGGAGAGCCTGTCGGGCCGTACCTGGAGGCGGAGGCGCTGCCGGAGGTGCCGCCGGAGGTGCTGCCGGTGCCGGGCCCGCGGCGGAGAGGAGGGAGCGGCCGCGGGGCTCTGACACTTCTGCTCGCCCCGCGCCTGACGTCACCGCCGCTGCGCCCGCCCATTGGCTGCCGCGGATGATTGGCAGCCACCGCCCACCGCCCCTTTGTGGGAGGGGCTCTGCCCGCCCCTCAGAGCGGCGGCCGCGGTTGCTCGCGGAGAGTGCCCAGAACACACCCGCTCCCGTGAAGGAAATTAAAGAAATTAACTCTGCCTCAGCCAAAGCCGGCACGGGAACAGTCCTTGTAGTCCTTGTGGCCGTAGAACCCTCCCACATACACCTCGGCGGGGTGAAGCCCCCCCCCTCCCCGAGCGTCCCCCCGGTCGGTGTCACCAGCCCTCGTCCCCGCCGGGGAAGGTGCTGTGGGAAAGGGCGATCACTGAGGAAAAATTGAGAGGGGCTAGGAAATGGGCGCTGTGCGGGATGGTGGTGGTGACACTGCTGGCGGCTGTAAATCGCTCCCTTGGGATCAGAGAATCGTAGGATGGTTGGGTTGAAAGGGAGCTTGAAATCCTTCAGTCCCACCCCCAGACACGGGCAGGGACACCTTCCACCAGCCCAGGTCGCTCCAAGCCCCGTCCAACCTGGCCTTGGACACTTCCAGGGATAGGGCAGCCACAGCTTCTCTGGGCAACCTGTGCCAGGGCCTCAGCACTTTCATAGGAAAGAATTTTTTCCTGATCAAAACCTACTCTCTTTCATTTTGAAGTCATTTCCCCTTGTCCTGTCGCTACACGCTCTTGTAAACAGTCTTGCCCCATCTTTCCTGTAAGTTCCATCCAGGAACTGGAAGGATGCCCGTGAGAAGTGCCCTGTGAGGACCATAGAAGACCACCCTGATCTTCCTCTTCACAAAAGATTTGCATGAGTTTTTCACCATCTTTTTATGTATGGCTACCATAAAATAATTTAAAAAATAATAGTCAGGGGTTCACTAAGTTTGCTAATGAATTCCTCACGGAGCCCCTGTGCCAGGTGTTTTTTGAACCCTATGCGGGATGCACCAACCTCCTCCCCAGTCCACCACGGTTCATCCAGCACACCCATGGCCTGCCAAGGACAGGCTGCCCTTCTCCACATGCAATGGCACTGACCGAGCCCCCGACTTCACACCCTGATGCCTTGGGAGGGAGGGAGGTGTGGGAAGAGCGAGGTCTAGGAGCTTTGAGCTCGGACCAGCAGGTGAGCAGGGACAGGCTGGAACGAGCCAGCGCAAGCCTGACCTTTCCCCAGGATAAATTACACTTGGAGAGTGTTTTGTAACTGGAAGATCTGGACACTGAAAGGGAGCTGTGAGATGTGTTTGATAATTACATGCTGCTTTTATGAGAAAGAATCATAGATAGGTTTGGGTAGGAAATGACCTTAAAGCTCATCATGTTCCAGCCCCTGCCATGGGCAGGGACACCTTCCTCTATCCCAGGTTGATCCAAGCCCCATCCAACCTGGCCTTGAACACTGCCAGGGATGAGGCAGCCACAGTTTCTCTGGGCAACCTGTGCCAGGGCCTCCCCACCCTCACAGTAAAGAAATTGCTCCTAATATCTAATCTAAACATACACTCTTTCAGTTTGAAGATGTTCCCCCTTGTCCTGTCCCTCCAGGCCTTTGCCCAAAGTCCCTCTCCAGCTTTTTTGGAACCCATTTAGGGACTAGAAGGGGTTCTAAGTTCTCTCTGTGGCCTTCTCCAGGCTGAACAATTCTGATTCTCTCAACCTCTTCTCGTAGCAGAGATGTTCCATCTTCATTATCATCTTTGTAGCCTCCTCTGGACTCCCTCCAACAGGTCCATGTCCTTGCTGTGCTGAGGACCCCAGAGTTAGACACTGTTCTAGGTGGGGTCTCACAAGAGAAAAGTATGGAAGAACAACAAGATTTTTCTCTTCCCCACCCCAATAGGAAGAAAAACAAAACAAAACAAAGCAAAGCAAAAACAAACAAAATCAAACAAACCCCAAAACAAAAAACAAAGAAAAATAAAAACACCAAGCAAAAAAACACACCCAGTCTTAGCAGTAATGAACTCTGGCTGCCTCTTGCTCTTTCTTCATAGAATGTCCTAACAAATTTATCTGTGCTGGAAAAGAGTTTCTTTCTTCCACAAAGAAAACGATATCCTAGTTGACACACAGAATTTGCGTATTTTTCCTGCACTAAACAAGCCTTCATTTGGAAATATTCCTGAATCTTTTCATATGTTCTAACCAAATTGCCCAAACCTTGGATGTCACGGAGCAGCCCTGCTTATGCCTTTGGAGAATAATACCCTTGGAAGAAATTTTTTCCAATGTGCAGTCAGCTTGATGCAGCAAGGGCTGGGAGGAGAAAAGATGATATTGTGCTCTTTATAAACACACAGGGGGTTAGGCTCAATTTGCTAATATGTTTATGTCTCCTACTAGCCTAATTCTGCCAACAGAGTGCCCTACATCTGCTGCCAAAGATGAGAGGAGTGCATAAAGCACCAAAAGGTGGTGCCTTAGGGGCTAAATTGCAAAACACGTTTCAGAGTCACGGCTGTTGAATGAGTACACATTTGTACTGTGCCCAGTTTCTTAAGTCATCCACCCAAGGCTGGGCAGGTGAGGCCAAGGCTTCCCTTCCTCCTGGGGAATCATTGTCCGACCACACGGATGCTCATTCAGGGCAGGACCTGCAAACAACCTGGAAAAGGCAAAAGGGAAATGGTGTCTCCTGTTAGAAAATTTGTCTATGAACCCAAATTTTGGACCAGTGATGCAGCCATTGAAGGAGGGGAAGAGTTTAGAGAAACTGAGGAATGCTTTTTTTACACACAATAATCAAAACCAGTGAATGCTGAAACGGACTTTATTGAGCTGCAACACCAGGACGGAGCCAAAGGTGAGAGGAGCACCAAAGCACCACCTGGGGGTTTGTTTGGATAGGGTAGATACCTAAAAGACTCCACTTGACAGTACCCAAAATATGGAAAAGAGAATACATGAAATGTTCACGTATTACAGCAATTTGCCCTGCAGAATCGATGAAAACTCTGACCTACTTGAGGAACGAGGGTTATTATATCCATTCTGCTTATCCAGAAAACAGCATTTGACATGTGAGTAAACCATGAAGTTATAAGAAGAAACAAGTTAAGTCATGCCAGTTGTTAGGAGTAATTCTGCAGCTCTGTCTCTGGCAGGAAAGCTCATTGAAGTCGTCGGGAATTAGGCGTGTGAAGAGACTGAGGAATTGCATCCCATTTATTGTGGGTATTTAGAGGCAGGGCCTATACAGAGGAATTGCAGCCTTGGCCTCGTATTTCTGTTCAGCTGCACGGGCTCAGCGTGTGCCAGGGATTCACGTGCTGCCCTGGGAGCTGCTGAAGCACCAGTGCCATGGCAGGGGTGCAGAACCCTCACTCGAGTTTCAGGCTGTCTTAGGAATGCTGCAGAAAGTGTCCAGAGTGCCTCAGAGTTCAATTCTTCAATAGCATGGGAGAGTCCTTCACCTCAGAGTGAGAGCCAGACCAGTCAGCAGGCTGGAGATGGAGTTTGTCCGAGTCAGGAAGCTCAAGGGGCAAGTTCATGATTAGCTAAAACCAATACACATCGACAGTCCTGGCAGGAGGACAGTCCCACCCCTCTTCCCACCCGTAGCCAAGCCACAAGTGTAGTAGACTTCACCCTTTATCCTTTTGGAGGAACTGTGCTGCCACTCAGCAAAAAAATTCAAAAAATGCTTTTCTGAGCCAAAGGCAGATTGGAAGGCAAAACTCACAGTCAGCATATTTTGCTGGGGAACTCAACCTGCAGTCCTAGGCTGATGATGAAGGGTATAAAGCTGTTGGAAAGTGTCCAAAGGATGCTACAAAGATGGTGAAGGGTCTGGAGGAGAAGCCATCTGAGGAATGGCTGAGGTCACTTGGATTGTTCAGCCTGGAGGAGACTGAGGGGAGAGCTCATAACACCCTACAGGTTCCTCATGGAGGGAAAAGCAGTGGCAGACACTGATCTCTTCTCTCTAAAGACCAGTGGCAGGACCCAGGGAATGACTGGAGCTGTGTCAGGGGACATTTAGGTGGGACATTAGGAAAAGGTTCTTCCCCCAGAGGGTGATTGGGCACTGAACAGGCTCCCCAGGGCAGTGGGCACGGCACCAAGCCTGACAGAGCTCAAGAAGCATTTGGACAACACTCTCAGGGGCATGGTGGGATTCCTGGAGCTATCCTGTGCTGGGCCAGGAGTTGGACTTCAGTGATCCTCGTGGGTCTCTTCCAACTCAGGATGTTCTGTGATTCTGTAATTCTGTGACAGCTGGTCCTTCATACTGAACAGCCTTCTGAGAAGCGTGTGATGTTGTCACATACTCTACAGGCCAACCAACCTTGCAGGTGTTCGTGTCACCTGAGCAAAGACTGACAAGATACCAGCGAGGGGACCCTCACAACACGTGGGAACGTGGGGACATGACCCGTGTGACATTCCTTGGTTTGCCCACTGTTAGGAAATGTCTGGTGTGTTACCAATCCTATACAGGGGGAAGGCTTTCCTGTGGCAGGTTTTCCTCTTTGAAAATATATGTCTGGAAAAGACCAAAGAAGAAGAAGAAGGAGGTGATAAGACAACAATGGGTAGATGGGTGATTTCAAGAATTTTCTACGTATGCACTTTCATTTTCATAAATGGGAGCTGAATTCACACAGATTTTTTCATAGTGCTTAAATAGAAAAATGGCTTTCCATGGCCCACGGCTGTGTTATTCTGGTTATTCACTGACAGCAGAATTCTACAATAAGATGTTTGCAGGATGAGTAACTTTAGCCTTTCCTGCATCACAGCTGGAATATTTCACAGTTCAGGGTGTCAGAGCAGCGGAGCAACAAATTTTAATGTACGCGAAGCAGATCTGCCTCTCCAGTTTGGTCAGAGATTTCTTTTTCAGCTCATACCCTTCAAGATAGTTTGGCAAAGCACAGCACAACCCCCTCAAAATGCTGCTGTTTTATATGATGGGTGTTAGTTAGCCCAGCTTAAAGCACCACAGACAACCCTCATAGCTGATATTTCTATTGCAATGTAAA